TTGCTGAGTCTGAGTCTGCGTCTGTCTGTCCTCCGTCCGTCGGGGGTGAGTGTGCTCTTGGCACGGACGTCCTTGAGGACAGACAGGAGGTCAGCGACAGGGAGTTGACTACTTTCAGACCTTCTCCCCGACCCCGAAGATGACCACTCTTCGGGTTCTGCTGCACTTTGCTGCTCAGCGTGACTACGAGCTTCACTCTCTTGACTTCAGCACTACTTTCCTACAGGGCAGCCTGCACGAGGAAATCTAGCTGCGCCGCCCACCTGGCTTCACTGGGTCGTTTCCTGCTGGTACCCAGTGGAGCCTCCGGCGGCCAGTCTACGGTCTCCGCCAGGCACCCCGTGAGTGGCACGACACACTGAGGACGACTCTTGCTGCTCTTGGGTTTGCTCCTTCCACTGCTGACCCGTCGCTGTTTCTTCGCACTGACACCACTCTGCCGCCGTTCTACGTTCTCGTGTACGTAGACGACTTAGTCTTTGCTACTGCTGACACTGAGGCACTCGCCCACGTGAAGTCGGAGCTGCAGAAGAGACACACGTGCACAGACCTGGGTGAGCTGACAAGCTATCTTGGCTTGCGGATCACCCGGGACAGAGCACAACGCACCATTACCTTGACTCAGTCACACATGGTGCAGCAGGTCCTTCAGCGCTTCGGCTTCACGTACTCCTCGCCATAGTCCACTCCTCTGCCTACCGGTCACTCGCTCTCAGCTCCACCTTCGGACGAGTCCGTAGAGCCGAGTGGCCCGTATCCAGAGCTTGTGGGCTGCCTCATGTACCTGATGACCTGCACTCGACCTGACCTTGCCTACCCTCTTAGCATTCTTGCACGCTATGTCGCTCCTGGCAGACACAGGAAGGAGCACATGGATGCAGCTAAGAGGGTGTTGCGCTACTTGTGCAGTATGTCGGGCATGGGGCTCGTGCTTGGAGGACGGGCTCGAGTTGTCCTCACTGGTCACGCAGACGCTTCCTGGGTTGACGACTTGGCTACGCAGCGGTCGTCACAGGGTTACACCTTCAGCCTTGGCTCCGGCTCTGTCTCTTGGCGGTCTATCCGTTCGTCTTATGTTCTCAACTCCAGTTGTGAGGCTGAGATCTACGCTGGGGCCATGGCTGCACAGGAGTTACGCTGGCTCACCTACCTGCTGACCGACTTGGGAGAGGCGCCTCGTTCTCCTCCAGTTCTGTACGTCGACAACAAGGCCATGCTTGCCTGTTGAATAGAAAGAGTAGGGCCTAGGCTTAGTAGCCTAGGCCAAAGGGAGTCGAGAGAGTTTAGTCAAAAAGAGAGGTTTCACTATAGTTCGGAAGGTACACATAGGCAAGATAAACATGCAATGAGGTACACCACCAACAAGTTTATAATAACTACACTAACTACAGCTACAGGCAGTTACAGATATATTCTAACACTCCCCCATAACTGCCTGCAGCAGGAGTCTGTGCAGCGACACATCCTGGATGGGTACACCACGAATAGAGAAAACAGCAACAGCAGGCAAGGTAATAAAGCAGGTACAGCAGCAAAGGGGCAGGCACTCCTGCCACCCCTTTACTCTCCTCCCCCCCCCCCCAAGAGGGACGGGGGCTGATTGGTCTCACACCCGCCACCCCAATGCCACTCCCCTGGCTCCCCCACACCCTCACACCCTCCCCCCAGCGGCAGCTGCAGCAGTGGGAACGAAAGGAGGAGGAGGGGAAGGGAAACATACCACCCATCACCCCCATACCCGCCACCCCCAGACCCTCCGTTCCACGGCTGCACGCGCAGCAGGGAGACGAAGAAGGGGGGGGGGGAGAGCAGCAACGGGCGGCAAGAACGGCGTCGCATGCAGCTGCAGGGTCAGCACCGTGGGGTCCAGGGGCGGCTGCACCAGGGGCAGCTGCTCCAGGGGCCAGGGGCGGCTGCTGAGGTCCAGGGGCGGCTGCTGAGGTCCAGGGGCGGCTGCACCAGGGGCGGGTGCTCCAGGGGCGGCTGCACCAGGGGCGGCTGCTCCGACGTGCGGCCCCCCCCAGGTCGCCCCTCCCGTCGCCTGTCGAGGCGACCTGAGGGGGCCGTGCGCGGACCCCCTGTGTGCCGCGACAGGCGACGAACCCGCCGCGCGCCTCAGGGCGCACGACGGGCAGGGCACCGTCGCGCGCCACGGGGCGCACGACGGGCAGGCAGGCAGAAAACCGCCGTGCGCCCCGAGCACACGGCGGGCAGAAAATCGCCGCGCGCCCGAGGCGCGCGACAGGACGACAGGCAGCGGAAGCAGACTGGTGGGCCCGTTAAGGAAGGCAGCAGGAAGGTGCCTGCTCTGATACCATGTTGAATAGAAAGAGTAGGGCCTAGGCTTAGTAGCCTAGGCCAAAGGGAGTCGAGAGAGTTTAGGCAAAAAGAGAGGTTTCACTATAGTTCGGAAGGTACACATAGGCAAGACAAACATGCATGAGGTACACCACCAACAAGTTTATAATAACTACACTAACTACAGCTACAGGCAGTTACAGATATATTCTAACATTGCCTTGTGTGAGGAGCACAGACTGGAGCACAGAACGAAGCACATTGCTCTGCGCTACTTCCTTGCTCGAGAGTTGCAGCAGCGTGGTCAGCTTCGTCTTGCTTACGTGGCCACTCAGGCCAACACTGCTGATATCTTTACCAAGGCACTTCAGCCTTGTGATCATCAGCGCTTTTGTACTATGCTAGGTCTTGTGCCTACTTGGCCTCACTTGCTCACTTCTTGACTCTGCTTGTACTGTGATCTCTATACATATACCTGCATGCTTACACTTGCTTGGTTGTGTTCACTGTATTGCTTGTTCTCCATTATATAACTCTGCATGTGAACTGGCCTTGTGGCCATTTGCTTGTGCTCAGAATGTGTGGTGACGTCGTGATCCACCCTGAGCTTGCTTTGCCTTTCTTGACCGGTCTTGTGACTTCTTGTTCTCCCCCACTTTGCCTATGGGGGTGTGTCAAACATATATGCTATAGTCTGTCTAGGCTGTAGTGGGGTAGTTCATATAGGGTACAACACTTTTAGGTTTCCCACTTGTACCCACATGCTTGCTAATTCAGTCATTTCCTTTCTTCACTATTCTGACAATCGGCACCGCCAACGGAGACGGTCGCGTTGCGGACTATTGCGTCATCTACGAGGTCCTTGGCGGACATTTGGCATGCACGACTTGCGCACGCGGGGATGGATACGATAAAGCGCACTGCTGCACATGGCGTGGCATCTGGATTGGAGATCACGTCATTGTATGGCGCAGACCTGGTATGCGTTTCTTGCGTTTGCGGGAAGCTGGTTCGTCATACCTTCCCCGACCAAGGTTCTGAACCCGAAAACACATTGGACGTTGTGCACATCGACGTCTGCGGACCATTTCGAGTTCCTGCAAAGGACGGAAGTCGCTACTTTCTTCTCCTGAATGATCGCAAAACGCGCTTCGTGTGGACGTATACTCTCACGCGGAAGAGTGACGCTTTGGAGAAATTCGAAACGTGGCTGACGATGGTGGAGCGACAAAGCGAGCTGACGGTGAAGATGATCCGATCTGACCGCGGAGGGGAGTTCTTGGGTGGCGATTTTACTGCCTTCCTCGACAAGCACGGCATTGTCCATGATCTGGCATGTCCGTATATTCCGCAGCAAAATGGGATGGCTGAACGCGAAATGCGCACACTTGTCGAGGCGGTGCGGACAATGCTTCTGCATATGAAGGAGACCCGGATGACTTTCACCATACCAAATAGATATGGCCATCGTAACCACAGGGATCGACTCTAGGATACTATGGTATCCATTAAGAAAAGGCCACACGATGAGAGTATTACGGTACAATGCAAGTCATATTTCTGGGTACACGATTCTGAGTTTCTATGCATATACTAGATGGTGAGCATTAGAGAGTCACACATCACAATGACACGCTTTGTTTTGGCAAATCGACACCGCTTTTTTTTTTCTGAACACCCCAGCTCGCTTGTTATGTAAAGTTGTTATCTCTTGGAGTTTGCTGAGTAGTTATGAAAACGAGTGTATGAGCGGAGCAGGTTCAGGATATCAAGTCAACCAGCTTTGTCGAAGTCCTGTTCCGGTTACGAAACGTTTTTGAAACCAGCAAAGGGTTTCTACCGACCGTTTCGCGCCAACAAAGCACCAAATTTCAAGCCCCCCAAGCATCCACGCATTTCTCCGCCTCTGGTGCCGTTGCGCTCCAATTCCTCCAATGTGACCGTTGTCTCGATTCAATTGATCTGCCTTCAACCTTCCTTGGGCACATTTTTCAAAGCTCTCTCAGAAGCTTGTGCCAGTCTTCAAGGCTCTGCAAGTTTGTTGCTTGTGAAAATCCGTTTCTGGACAGATTCTTTGTCAACAGCAATTTGGCTGTTTACATAGTAAACCTGCGTGCGTGCGGGACCGTTTGGAAGCCTGAAGGGACCGGTTCTCGTGAGGCGGAAGAGGCATGACACATCGTTCCGCCTTTTTCGCTGCAGCAGCAGGATCTCACGTGATTTGCCGAGGGGGGTAGAAGTAGTGATTTGCCGGTTTCTACGTGGAGTCATTTCACAGGCGACTTCATTTTCGACCCGCAGGCGAAAGGCCATGCGATAGATAAGGCCGTCGCCAGATCGCCGTGTGTCGCCAGCTGGGCTCGTGCGACGCAAGTTGAGCTCGTGCGACGCAAGTTGAGCTCGTGCGACACTCTCTAATGCCAGATAGCGTATTCTTGGAGCCATTTTCTACTGTCACCTTCCCCTCCTATTTTAACAAGAAACGCACGTGTAGCTCCATCGTGTGCTGTATGTTGGCCCTATGGGCTCCATATGCGATGGAGGGATCTAGCCTAGGATACCCTTCCTGCCGCGTCTAGGCCTACGCTACACCTACGTGGAACTACCTACCTTAGAGGTTATTCTTCGTCGTAGTTTTTTTTATTTCCTTTTACTTCTTTGTTAGGCGGAAGTTCGTGTAGCTCGTTGCAATGAAGGGCCCCATGTCCCCGCTCTCGTTGCGCGCGACGGAGCTGGAGGACCGGCCGCCGGAGTGGATGGCGCTCATCGCGCCGTCATCCTCGGCGGGCCCTGCGCCGCCTCTCCCGTCGGCGTCCAGCAGCAATGGCGGAGCAGGAGGCGGATTAAAGCCCCGGTGAGCAAAGCGTACTTTCCTCTGGGCTTGGAAGGTGTTCATGAGGGCTACACATGCAAAACACCCAGCAATGGCAGAGCAGAAGGCGGCTTAAAGCCCCGGTAAGCGAAGCGTACGTTCCGTCCTTTGCTCAACAGTCCGACGCTGTGGGTTTTCTTTCTAGGCGCTTCTAAACTCGTTCAGCAGCAATGGCGGAGCAGGACGCGCCTTAAAGTCCCAGTGAGCACAGCTCAGGTCCCACAGGCTGTGTTTTGCTACACTTCTGAAAGCATTTTTGAGGCGCCTCAAAAGTCGTCCGCAGTGATCACAGCTCAGGTCCATGTGTTTTGCTACAGTTTTGAAAGCACCCAGCCATGGAGTGAAGGGCGAAGCTTAGCCGTTCCCCCGCCTCTTCCCTTCCCTCCTCATCCCACCTCAGCCGCGTGCGCGTGCTGCCAGTGTCACACCCCTCTCACGCTGACATCTAGACAGAAGCTCTCAAACCCACTTATTCCTCCTCATCCGCCCCCCTCTCTCTCCTTCCTCTCTCTCCGCTCCCCGTTCCCCCATCACCTGAATCAGCCGCGTGCGTGTGCTGCCTGTGTCACACCCCTCGCACGCTGACATCTATGACAGCGGTTCCCAAACACACTCATTCATCCGCCCCCTTCTCTCTCCTCCCTCTCTCTCCTCCCTCTCTCTCCCAATCACCTGAATCAGCCGCGTGCGAGTGCTGCCAGTGTCACACCCCTCGCACGCGGACATCTACGACAGCGGTTCTCCCGGCGGGACCGGGGGTTTCATTGGTTCCAACTGCTGGGCGGCATTTTGGCGCGTAGTGCACTACCTCTTCCCGTGCACCAAGTGGATGGCGGCTTATAACCTGCGAGACGACCTCGTGGCGGACCTTATAGCGGGGATAAGCGTGGGCGTGATGCTCGTTCCACAGGTAGGTGCACACGTGGCGGGATTCTGCTTATTTAGGTGTGGAAATTTCTCATACGCGTTATGGACTAGCTGGGCGCCTGTTACAGAGGGTGGTGTTTGATTCATACGTGCTTGTTTACCGTATTGTTTTATTCCCCTTTTCACTTCCCGCACCAATCACTCATTCTTACCTGCTGAACTCCACTCCTGCCCCGCATCCCACCATCCTCCTTTTTTCCCTTATTTCCCGTTTCTCTCCCTCTCTTTTCGCCGTCCACCCCTCCCCCTCCCCCCTCACAGTCAATGTCATACGCTAAACTCGCTGGCCTGCCCCCGATATACGGCCTATGTATGTATACCAATGCGCATGACATGTCCCAACTAGTGTGTACATGCCAATCCATGGGATTGACATGCCTCTAGCTAGTGTATGCATGCATGTAACTCGTGTGTGTGTGACATGTGCTTGACATGTCTTTAACTGGTGTAGTTACGAAATGCGCTTGACATGCCTTCAAGTGGTTCAGCGCGGTTCTGTTGCTGATTGTGGCTTGTGAAACAAGCACCTCTTCCTTTCATATTCCCTTCGTCTTCCCCGGCCTCCCTCCCCACTTCCCCAATCCCCTTGCCTCATTTCCGTTTCCCCATCCCCGTCCCATTCCGCTTTCCCCATCCCATTCTCCCCATCCCGTTCTCCCCATTCCCTTTTCCCCAATCACCAACCCCCACCCATGTCCTCCTCCCTCCCAGACTCGGCGTTCGTGCCCATTCTGAGCTACGTGGTGTTTGGCTCATCCCGCCAGCTGGCAGTGGGCCCCGTGGCGATCGTATCCATCCTCACGTTCGACGGGCTCCGGAAGGTTGTAGCGGAGAAGCTACGAGACTCGGCTGTAGCGGCAGGTTTGGCTGCAGCAGGGAGCGTGGCAGGGGGGATAGAGCTCCCAGGCGCGACAGGTTTGGGTGGTTTCCAACCCTCTCGGTCTCTGCTGGATTTCCGAAGCTCCGTTGGCAGTAGTGGTGGTGGTGGTGGTGGTGGTGGCAGTGGCAGCAGCAGCAGCAGTGCTCTGTTTCCGTTCTCTGTGAGCACGGCTGCCAGGCAGCTGAGTAGCATGGGCTGGGGGATCACAGCCGCGGAATTGACAGGTGGAGGAGGAGGAGCAGGAGGAGGGATGCTAGGAGGAGGGGCAGCAGCGGCAGGAGGGGCAGTAGGGGCGGGGGATGTGAGCATGGAAGAGTTGGCAGTGCTACTGGCGCTGATGGTGGGACTGCTGGAAGTGCTCATGGGCCTGCTCAGGTGAGTGCTCTCTCAGGTGTACTGTGAGTAAACAAGCAGCAGGGGCAGAAGGGGCAGGAGGGGCAGGAGGGGCAGTAGGGGCGGGGGATGTGAGCATGGAAGAGTTGGCAGTGCTGCTGGCGCTGATGGTGGGGCTGCTCGAAGTGCTCATGGGCCTGCTCAGGTACGTGTTGTGTTCTCAGGTGTTTTTTCAGAGACTTCTCATATGTGCTCTTTCAAGGGGCTTCTCAGGTTCGTTTTGGTAATTAACATTCTTGGGTCTCTCCTGGCCCCCGTATTTCGTACCTTGTCTCATCATGATCCCAGAAAAATGCACCTTCCCTCCTTTTTTGTCCTTTTCTCCATCCTCCATCCCTCTCTCGCCCTCCATGTCTCTCCTCCCGTCCTTTCCAGAATGGGTTGGCTCGTGCGTTTTCTCTCTCACAGCGTCGTCTCGGGATTCACCTCGGGAGCTGCTCTCCTGGTGTGCGTGTCTGTGGCCAAGGACATTCTCGGATTCTCCATGCCAGGTGAGTGAGGGGTGAATGAGGGGGGTTTGCGACCACAAGGCTGGAGGCGAGTGTGTGTATGCCGGGTGAGTGAGACTACAAGGCTGGAGGCGAGTGGTGGTGTCCGCCTCATTCCCCTCCTCAGTAGCGGCGCTCCCGGTGTGCGTGTCAGTGGCAAAGGACATTCTCGGATTCGTTATGCTTGGTGAGTGAGAGTACTTTGAGTTATGGGGGTGACTGGGCAATAACAAATGTGAAGAATGGGGCGTTGTTGCTGCTGCTGCTGCTGCTGCTGCTGCTACTGCTGCTGCTGCTGCTGCTGCTGCTGCTGCTGCTGCTGCTGCTGCTGCTGTTGTTGTTAGAGCTAAAATTCAAGTCCTGTTTGGAGCTGAGATGCTAAGTTGCCTTAACCCCCACCGTTCTCCCATACTTCTAATCCCCACATCGTGCCATACTCACGGCAGGCCAGACGACGTTTGTGGCGGCGCTGTCGCACATAATCAAGCAGATCATGGCGGGGAGGGCTCACTGGGAGCCCATGGCTCTGGGAGGGGGCGCGCTGCTGCTGCTGCTGCTGATGAAGGAGGCGGGCAAGAGCTGGAAGTATCTGCAGGCTCTGCGATGCGCCGGGCCCTTCACCAGCATTGTGCTTGGTGCCATGGTGGTCAAGTTCTGGCGGCCCCTGCATGTGCCTGTGGTGAGTCTGTTGACAAGCTCTAGGGGCAGCTCCCTGCTGCTGCCATTGCTGCCGCTGCTGCCACTGCTGCTGCCACTGCTGCCACTGCTGCTGCCACTGCTGCTGCCACTGCTGCCACTGCTGCTGTCACTGCTGCCATTGCTGCCGCTGCTGCCACTGCTGCTGCCACTGCTGCCACTGCTGCTGCCACTGCTGCCACTGCTGCTGCCACTGCTGCCACTGCTGCTGCCACTGCTGCTGCCACTGCTGCCGCTGCTGCCACTGCTGCTGCCACTGCTGCCACTGCTGCTGCCACTGCTGCCACTGCTGCTGCCACTGCTGCCACTGCTGCCACTGCTGCTGCCACTGCTGCCACTGTTGCTGCCACTGCTGCCACTGCTGCCACTGCTGCTGCCACTGCTGCCGCTGCTGCTGCTTATGAAGGAGGCGGGCAAGAGCTGGAAATCCCTGTAGGTTCTGCCGGGCCCTTCACCAGCATTGTGCTCGGTGCATTGGTGGTGAAGCTCTGGCGCCCCCAGCACGTGCCCCTGGTGAGAATTTTAGAAGGGTTACGGGGCAATTCTGCTTCCCTTCCCGTTTTCCATCCCCATCCCCACTTCCCTTCCATCACAGGTCGGTGAAATCCCCCAGGGCCTGCCCTCCCTCTCCACAGGCTTCCCCTGGGAGTATTTCCCCAAGCTGCTGCCAACAGCTCTCGTGATAACGGGCGTGGCAATCCTGGAGTCGTGCGGGATAGCCAAGGCGCTGGCAGCACGCAACGGCTACGCCATCCACGCTCCTCCTCTGCCTCTTCCCCACTTCCCATCCCCACTTCCCTTCTCTCTTCCTTCCCACTTTCCTCCCTGCTTTTCCCACCATCACAGGTGGGCGAGATCCCTCAGGGTCTGCCCTCCCTCTCCACGGCCTTCCCCTTGGAGTATTTCCCCAAGCTGCTGCCAACAGCTCTCGTGATAACGGGCGTGGCAATCCTGGAGTCGTGCGGGATAGCCAAAGCGCTGGCAGCATGCAACGGCTACGCCATCCACGCTCCTCCTCTGCCTCTTCCCCACTTCCCATCCCCACTTCCCTTCTCTCTTCCTTCCCACTTTCCTCCCTGCTTTTCCCACCATCACAGGTGGGCGAGATCCCTCAGGGTCTGCCCTCCCTCTCCACGGCCTTCCCCTGGGAGTATTTCCCCAAGCTGCTGCCAACAGCACTCGTGATTACAGGAGTGGCAATCCTGGAGTCCTGTGGAATAGCCAAGGCGCTGGCAGCGCGCAACGGCTACGCCATCGATGCCAGCCAGGAGCTCTTTGGGCTCGGCATGGCCAACGTTCTCGGGTCATTCTTCTCCTCCTTCCCCACCACTGGTGAGTGAATTCCTTCCGTCCCCACCACCAGTGAGCTCTGCCGGCGCGAGTTGTTCCCCCTGCCACCATAGCCCTCCCTTCCCATTCCCTAAGACAGCCTTTCACTCTTTGCACACCCGATCACCTCCTTCCCCACCTCCCCTCTGCGCCCCTTCCCCCACCTTCCCCCCACATGCCCCCTCTCTGCAGGCTTCTTCTCCCGATCAGCAGTGGACAACGAGGTGGGGGCGCGTACGGCACTGAGTGGGCTCATCATGGCTCATCTTTCCGCCTCTCCTCTCTGCCTCCTCTGTCGTACCCTCACTCCCTTTCTCCCATCACCGCAGGCTCGTTCTCTCGATCAGCAGTGAACAACGAGGTGGGAGCGCGCACAGCACTGAGTGGGCTCATCATGGCGCTCATGGTCGTCGCCACGCTGCTCTTCCTCACACCGGCTTTCAGAGATGTACCGCAGGTGCATATGGGTGCCTTTAGAGTCAAATTCAGACAACAAAAAACTCCTTGAGTACAGCGGGTAGTGCGTGGATGAGCTGAAAGGGCAGTCAGGCATATGGTCCATACCACACATCGCACAGCACTGAGTGGGCTCATCATGGCGCTCATGGTCGTCGCCACGCTGCTCTTCCTCACACCGGCTTTCAAGGACGTGCGTATAAGTGGCTCGTGGGTGGCTTCCTCTCTCCAGCCTTCTCAGACGTTTCTTTGCTACGCACATACATCTGGATGGCAGTGCATTCCATAATTCTCCAAGCCCCTTCTACCCCTGCCCCTCCTCGCTCGCCTCCTGCTGCCCATCCAACCCTTTCCCCCCAGTGTGTGCTGGTAGCCTGCAGGCTGGTCGACCTACAGGAGCACCTCTTCCTGTGGCGGGCATTCACCAACGCCCACCTCCCGCTGCGCCTGCCCCCTGCCTGCCTGTCCCATCACAGTGTGTGCTGGCAGCGGTGGTGGTGAATGACTTTTGAGGCGCCTCAAAAGTCGCCTCAAAAGCCCACCTCCCGCTGCGCCTGCCCCCTGCCTGCCTGTCCCATCACAGTGTGTGCTGGCAGCGGTGGTGGTGAATGCAGTGCACGGTTTGGTCGACCTACAGGAGCCGCTCTTCCTGTGGCGCGTGGAGAAGAAGGACCTCGTGCTCTGGCTCTGTGCTTTTCTGGGCACACTGCTGCTGGGACTGGAGACTGGCGTTCTCATCTCGGTATGTCGATGACTTGGAGGGGCGCAAGGAATCTGTGTGGGTGCATGAATGAAGGGGGAGAGGAAGGGGTTTGGTGGTGGGGAGAGAGGCGCAGGAGCCACTCTTCCTGTGGCGTGTGGAGAAGAAGGACCTCGTGCTCTGGCTCTGCACATTATTTGGAACACTTCTCATTGGACTTTAGACTGGTGTTCTCATCTCGGTACGTTGGTGCATTGAGAAATGCAGGGAGGTGAGAAGTGTAGGTGAGCCTCTGAACCTTGCTCTTCTACTGGAGACTGGTGTGCTCATTCCCCCCTTCCCCCTACCCTCTCTCCCTCCATTTTTCCTCCTCCCCTCTCCCCTGGCAGGTGGCGCTCTCCCTCGTTTTTGTCATTCATGAGTCTGCCAATCCGCACATGGGTAAGTCCCACATGCGCCCTTCCCATCTGAAATGAGGGTGTTTTTGAGAGGTCTCAAAAACAATCCGCACATGGGTAAGTCCCACATGCGCCCTTGCCATCCCTCGTCTTTGCCATCTTCCCCCAGCCCACATACGAAGACGTACAGACACATGATTGCCAGGCACTGATTTCCCTGATGCCTGCATGTCCCCTTCACCTCCCGTACACCACTCCCCCTTGTTACTCTCCCAGTCACCATGGTATACTGCAATTGAAGGAGTACCGAGTTGACTTTTGAGTGAGTCAACTCGGTATACTGCAATGTGAAGTAGTAACGGGACGCAACACATCACACACCTGCGCCCCTCGTTTCCCTTACTGTATTTCTCGTTGCTTACTGTATTTCTCGTTGCTTACTGTATTTCTTGTTGCTTACTGTATTTCTCGTTGCTTTCCCTCCCATCTCTGCCCCTCCACCCCTCCACCCCTCTGCCCCTTCTTCACCCACTCCCTCTCCCTCTCCCTCTCAGCCGTCCTGGGTCGCCTCCCAGGCACCACGGTGTACCGCAACGTGAAGCAGTACCGCGATGCATACACGTACAGGGGGGTGGTCATTCTGCGCATCGACTCACCCATCTATTTTGCCAACGTGGACTATATCAAAGAGAGGTGCGCTGTAGGTGCGCCTGGGTAGGTGCGGTGCAGCAACACGTGAAATATAGCAGAAGCTCCGGTGCTCAGTTCAACTGAGTTGACTTTTGAGTCGACTCAAAAGTCAACTCGATATAGCAGAAAGTCCAGTGCTTAGTTCAACTGAGTTGACTTTCAAGTCGACTCAAAAGTCAACGCGATATAGCAGAAGCTCCGGTGCTCAGTTCAATTGAGTTGACTTTTTATTCAACTCAAAAGTCAACTCGATATAGCAGAAACTCTCATACCATGTCAGAATCCCAACCACTAGACCATTGGGACAAAAAGACTTGTTTGTGTAGCGGGTTTGTACGCCCATAACCCCCAGGCGATCGCGCCTGTAACCCTCTTAGGATCAATCGGGCATCCATAGTGCAGATCTACTGACACCCCCCCACATTGGGAGGCCCAGGACTGAGTACAGCGGCAACGGCCTACATGTGTATACACCGGGATTCGAACCCGAGACCGCTCTGATACCATGTCAGAATACTGAACGAAAATGGTTGGATTGAACAGAAAGTTGGGTACAAGTACTAACCCTAATTAGGTTGTATCTCTTGTGGGCTACCCCACTACAGTCTACACAACGTAAGCACTATATAAGTTTGACACTCAGTTCAACTGAGTTGACTTTTGAGTCGACTCAAAAGTCAACTCGATATAGCAGAAGGTCCGGTGCTCAGTTCAAATGGTAACTGCTAAGGCTGCGCAAGTACGAGCTGCAGAGGGTGGCGTGGTGGAAGGGGAGGTTCGCAGCAGCAGCAGTAGCAGAGTGCTGTTTGTCATATCAACGTGTCGCCTCTCCACCTTGCCTGCTTTCCATGTGCTTGTGCTCCTCCCCTCTCACCTCAGGCTGCGCAAGTACGAGCTGCAGCGGGTGGCATGGTGGAAAGACGGTAGCAGAGTGACTGCTTCACATGTCACCTTTAACACCTGTGTCTCTGCCCTCTCTCCCCTCCCCCCTTCCCCGTACTGCCGCAGGCTGCGCAAGTACGAGCTGCAGAGGGTGGCTTGGTGGAAGAGAAGGATGGCAGCAGGCAGAGTGACTGCTTCACATGTCACCTTTAACCCCTGTGTCTATGCCATCTCTCCCCTCCCCTCTTCCCCCTTCCCCATACCACGGCAGGCTGCGCAAGTATGAGCTGCAGAGGGTGGCGTGGTGGAAGGACGGCAGCAGCGGCAGCAGCGGAGGAAGGCTGGCAGGCAGCAACGGGGGAGCCAACGGAATGGCTGTCATGGACCTGCGCTTTCTCATACTCGAGATGTCCCGTGAGTGTGTCTTTCTGTCCTCTTCCTCTATAGTCAGCTGTCCTGTGGGTTTGTTGGACCCTTCTTTGTCCTTAGTCTTGAGTGTAAAAAAAAAAAAAAAAAAAAAAAAAAAAAAAAAAAAAAAAAAAAAACGTATGCATGGTTATCATTCTTTTCATCCCCTGTCCTGCTCTCCTACCCCCGTCCCCCTCCTGCAGCCGTTACTTATATCGATTCCACGGCCGTGCACGCCCTCAAGGAGCTCTATAACGAGTACAAGGCACGGGACATCCAGCTGTGCTTCTCCAACCCCTCGCCCAAAGTCATGCTCACCATGGCCCGAGCCGGTTTCCCTGATCTGATCGGCCGCCAGTGGTACTTTGTGCGGATCCACGACGCTGTTCAGGTGAGCTTGATAAGGAGAAGGGGAGGGGGGGAGGGAGCTATGTCTGACCCTTTCCCTGATTTGTTTGTGCTGCTGAAATCCACCACCAAAACCCCTTATCGCTTCTGTTCACCTGGCCTCAGTACCCTCTTCTTTCCTCTGCCCTCGCTGCTCCCACCAGGTGTGCCTCGCACTGCTGGAAGATACAGAGATCACCATCGAAACCCCTTCACGCTACCAGCGTGCCGATTCCTCTGCAGTCAGAGCCACCACCTCTCAGGCAGTGGGGGGACGGCAGCAGCAACCACAGCAGCAGCGGCAGGGAGGATTACGAGAGGAGCGACCGCACACCTTGTCACGGCATCATTCTGAGCCCCAGCAGCAGCAGCAGGGACAGCAGCAGGAGCAGGAGGAGGGGAATGAGCCGAGGGTGATTTTGCAGCAGGAGCAGCTGCAACTGCAGCAACAGCACCAGCAGCAGCTGCAGCAGCTGTTGTATCAGCAGCAGCAGCAGCTGCAGCTACAGCAACAGCAGATGCAGCAGCAGCTGCAGATGCTACACCAACTCATCCTCCCACCTCACCACCAACAGCAACAGCAGCAAGGGCAACCCCAATCACCTGAGCAAACACCTGTGTGGGAAATCCAGCCCCAGGTGACTCAGCAGGTTTCTCCCACGCCAGGCCTCACCCTCTCCCCGCACCTGTCCGCCAGCTTCGTGAATCTCGCCCAGGCTGCCCAACGAGCTAGCAGCTCAAACTCTGAAGGTGGGTTGAGTACGGTTGGGGAGGATATCCAGTCCATGTCGGGTGAGTCAGAGGAGAGTATGGGTGCGAGGCGGAGGAAGAAGCAGAGTGTGGCAACGGCTGCTGCGGATGCAGCAGATGCTGCTGAGGATGCGGCCTTCTTTGAAGGGAGAATGAGCAGTGGGACAACTGTGGGGGACCTTGCGAGTAGCTTGTCTCCCTTCTTGGAGACCGAAGGGACATTTCAAGGGCTTGATTGATGAGATAAAAACAAGTGTCATATGATATGATGAGACTTTTTTTTTTTTTTTTTTTTTTAAGATGGATTAAAACGTTCAAGCTATTCGTTATGAAGTATGGCTCAAAACAAAGTAGCATCTGTGATCAGACCATCATCTTCACAAAGACCGTGTATATTACTAATACGATTTGCAGACTGAAGGGAAGTGACTATAGGCTATAGCGAGAACAGTGTGAAGGTTTGGATGACGTGGCTGCTGAGCTGAAGTGAATCACCAATCACAGGCAGTTGCGGCCCCCAAAAGTACTCCATTCTCGCTACTTTGCTGACGAAATGCTGGCGAATGTCGTTATGCTCGTGCACCAGTAATTTCCTCCGCAACGCCAGGGAAAGCGGCGAAGCGAGGAGGAGTGGAGGCCAATACGACGTCGTTTTCCGCGGCAATATCTGAGCGAGGTGTGATGATTGGTACAACCAGGCATGCGAAATGTCGCATGTGGATGGCGCGGCACTTTCGAAGGGCGGTCTGGTGGGGCCTGAGCAAATGGTGCCGCCAACATGGGGGAAACTCCAGGCGTATGGGGAGCGGGGAGGGAATCTTCCCCCGCCTATGCGCGCCTTCCCTCGCAATTGTGCGCGCGCGACCAGTGCCAACCACGTGGTCAGATACACTGCCCACAGGGGTGAGGGAGTCATTTGTGAATCGTGTGATTCGTGAATCGTGATGGGTGCAAGTGCCAATCCAACAGCACCATCATCGACCTTCGAGAAATAAGGAAACCCTAAATTACTCGTTTGACTACCACTCTAATCAGTGGAGTGAAGTAGTGGCTAACAAGTGGAATAAGGATCGCTTCGTGACACTTGGTTTTGGACCACGCGTTAGTTTAGGGTAGCTTCTCGCGATGTGAGCACTGCGCAGCCTTCGGAGACTATTGACGCCATGGATCGCGGCTCAAGTGCCGCCGATCCGTTTAGGATCGAGATAAGCTATGACGATCTGTTCCCGCACATAGTGTACCTGAACGACCTAAGACACGATCCGGACAAGGTCAAGGATGGATCAGCGGCTTCGGGCGATTCGGGTCTTGTCTCCAAATGGAGAATGAAGGATCGGGTACGATTTACGGTATCGCTTTTACGTCAACGGTTGTCTGTTTCAGAAACGCTTTAGTTCCATAGCAACTCTTTAGTTGTTGATTGTGTTTGCTAACAGGTGATCCTTTTGTGCAATTGGGGTGCTGCGACCTCGAGCCAGATTGGCTGTTGACGATGGATGATAGCTCCCATCGGTGATTCATCGAAACGAATACTAGCGTAACATGGTATCTTCGGCAAGAAAAACATAGTAGCTTTCGCTCGCGGTTCGTGGTATTTCCCACTGGCGAAACATGGTATCTTTGCCTGGCGAAACGTGATAGCTCTCGCTGGCGAAACACTGTACAATGTCACCCTTTACATCGAATAGACGTCTTCACAGCCGTTCCTTACCCGCTGTGACTATGTAGAACTGCTTCTAACGTATTGGTAAGCTCGCCGCTTAGGCGACGGCTGGTTGATCAACAATGGTGTAGTTATCAGTCACAGCTAAATTACTTCCGGCGAGGATTCAGAAGTCAAGATGATTAAGACTTAATCTATCCGTTCGTTTCCGTCTTCCCTCTCTCCCTTCCCCACATCCCCGCACAGATATTTATCAGTTTTCTGCCGTAAATTGATCCCGTGATCATCGATTTCCTCCCCTACTCCATCCCCTTCTTAAGTCCCTCCTTCCCGATCCTTCCCTCTCATCCCCTCACATCCTCCTCTCCATTTCCCCTGTCGATCGCTCCCCATCGCTCCTTAACCGGCGTGGATCCGCCAGACAATTGCACTCCTCCCCCATCTCCCACCCCCATCCCCTTCCCACCTCTGCACCCCCCTCCCCTACTCCCCCTTCCATCACACGCCTTCCCCTCCCCCCTCTCCGCCGGGCCCCGCACACCTCCCTTCCCCCCCCTTCGCAGATGAAGACGAGCAGCGTGGCCATTGTGCTGTGCCTCAACATCGGAGTGGATTTTCCTGACGATTGATCTCCTCCCCGATCCCTTTTCCCCTACCCTCCCCCACATACCCTACGCCGTACCCTCCACTCCCGCAACCCCCTGGGTCCCCCATACCTTCTCCATTCTCCCCGCTCCCCTTTCCCCCCTCCACAGATGAAGACGAGCAGCGTGGCGATCGTGCTGTGTCTCAACATCGGAGTCGACCCACCTGACGATTGATCTCCTCTTGCATTTCCTTCTCCCTTACCTATCCCCGCAACCCCCCTCTCCGCCCCACACCCACAACCCCCTCCCCCCGCGCAGATGAAGACGAGCAGCGTGGCCATCGTGCTGTGTCTCAACATCGGCGTCGACCCACGTGACGATTGATCCCTTCCCCCTACCCTACCCACCCTCCAACCGTCCCCCTGCCCCCCCCTCTTCCCCACCCCCCCCCCCCCCCCCCCCCCGCGCAGATGAAGACGAGCAGCGTGGCCATCGTGCTGTGTCTCAACATCGGAGTCGACCCGCCCGACGTCATCAAGATATCGCCCTGCGCGCGAGTCGAGTGCTGGATCGGTCAGTAACCAGCTGCTGCCTCCTGTCGAGCATCTCCCTCCCCCTCTCAGCAATTGCGTTTCCCCTCACTGGAAGCCAATGGGTCGATTTTTGAGTCAACTTGAAAGTCAAGTGCTGGATCGGTCAGTGCCATGCCATGCTGCTGCCTCCTGTCAAGCATCTCCCTCTCTCAGAAATTGCGTTCTTCCGTGCCGGGAGGGAAGGAAACCAATGGGAAGGAAGGACCTTCGATTCTCTAGCTCTTATGGCTTCGTCCTAATCACGCATCACCATCTTCTTTGCCCGTCCACCCTACGCTGTGTACCCAACAAACCTACGTTGTCCGCCCTTACATCCTTTCAACCCCTCCCCCATCCCCCTCCCCTCCCCCCCCCCCCCCCAATTCCCCCTTCCCTCCATCCCCATTCACTCCCCTTCCCTCCCCCTTCTTCTCTTCTTCCCACCCCCCTCGGCAGATCCCTTTTCAATGCAAGCACAGAAGGCGTTGGATACCATCGGGAAGAACCTTCAGGCGCAATACGAGCGCTGGCAACCCAAGGTGTGGTGTGGTAACCTGCCATGAATAAGGTGGGGTAACCAGGTGTTGTAACCAGCCGTGATCCAAGGTGTGTTGTATGCATTAGATCACATGTTTCATTCTCCTTACCCACCCCGCACCCTCTGCTATGTACACCCCACCCCCCAGGCGACTTTTGAGGCGCCTCAAACATCCTCTGCTATGTACACCCCACCCCCCAGGCAGGGAGCTACAAGGTGCAGCTGGACTGGACCCGACGGTGGAGGAGGCGAAGAAGCTGTGTGTGACGTGTGGTAGTGCATGCATCGTATATCCCTTCCTGCCTTACTTTCCCCGTCTCCTACCAGGCGCGCTACAAGGTGCAGCTGGACTGGACCCCACGGTGGAGGAGGTGAGGAAGCTGTGCCTCACGTGTGGCATTCCATGCATTACATCACGTATCCATCATCGTTTCCTTCTCTCCCGTCCCGTCCCATCTCCCTCTGTCCCCCAGGCGCGCTACAAGGTGCAGCTGGACCCGACGGTGGAGGAGGTGAAGAAGCTGTGCCTGATGTGCCGGCCGGCGCAACGCCAAGGCGGAGAGGGTGTTGTTTCACTACAACGGCCGCGGCGTGCCCAAGCCCCCTCTCCCTCCCCCCCCTTCTACTCTGTTCCCCAGGCGCGCTACAAGGTGCAGCTGGACCCGACGGTGGAGGAGGTGAAGAAGCTGTGCCTCACGTGCCGCCGCAACGCCAAGGCGGAGAGAGTGCTGTTCCACTACAACGGCCACGGCGTGCCCAAGCCCACGGGCAACGGGGAGATCTGGGTCTTCAACAAGACATACACGCAGTACATCCCACTGTCTGTCTATGAGCTCGACTCGTGGCTGGCGACCCCTTCCATCTACGTCTTTGACTGTTCTGCCGCCGGCATGATCATCAACGCCTTCGTTGAGGTAGGAACCACGGCGTGCCCGGCGTGCCCTCGCCAAGCCCACAGGCAACGGGGAGATCTGGGTGTTGAACAAGACATACACGCAGTACATCCCACTGTCCGTGTATGAGCTCGACTCGTGGCTCGCCACGCCCTCCATCTATGTGTTTGACTCCTCCGCTGCCGGCATGATCATCAACGCGTTTGTCGAGGTATGCATCACAGGAACTAACTCTTCCCACCTGGCATCCCATTTCCCGGGGAAGGTCAAGAGCTCACTTACTTTGTCGAGGTAGGGGCCACGGGATGACCAAGCCAAGCCCAGGGGATGCCCAACCAAGCCAAGCCGACGGGCAACGGGGAGATCTGGGTGTTGAACAAGACATACACGCAGTACATCCCCCTGTCCGTGTATGAGCTCGACTCATGGCCCGCCACGCCCTCCATCTATGTGTTTGACTCCTCCGCTGCCGGCATGATCATCAACGCCTTTGTCGAGGTGAGGGGAACCCGAACACGTTGGTGGAGGCAAGGGCGGTTAGCTGCAGTGCAGCATTGAGTACTGTGAGTGACTTGCAATGATTCTCATGAGGAGAGCTGACTTGGCTGTAGCAGCGCCGTCCAGCCCAACAGCAACAGGCAATCCCTCCCGTCACCTTCTTCCCTTCTTCTGCCTCCCTCTGCCTCCCTCTGCCTCCCTCTGCCTCACTCTGCCTTCTCCTGCCGTCCCTTCCTTCCCTGCCTCCCCTTCCACCCCTCAGCGTCCCGACTGGGATTTAGCAGCACCGTCCAGCCCACTCGCCTCCCCAACAGCAGCCAGCAGGGAAGCTCCTCAACTCACTCCTCGTAACCCTCTCCTTTTCCCCTCCCCTGCCTCCCTTCCCCCCTTCCCCCCTCTCAGCGTCCCGACTGGGCACTAGCAGCACCGTCCAGTCCCATCGCCTCCCCAACAGCAGCCAGCAGGGAAGCAGCGGCCGCCACAGCATCAGCAGGAAAGCAGCAGCGGGCATGCGATGCGCGACCGCATACTGCTGGCAGCGTGTGGGCCGGACTCCAGAGGAGATTCTCCCCCAGCTTACCGTGTGGCAGCCCTTGTTTACCCCTCCCTTCAGCTTCTTCCCCTGCCTCCCCTCCCTTCAGCTTCTTCCCCTGCCTCCCCTCCCTTCAGCTTCTTCCCCTGCCTCCCCTGCCTCCCCTGCCTCCCCTGCCTCCCCTCCCTCCCCTCTCTCCCACCCCTCCCTTCACTCCCACTCCACTCTACCTCTCTCAGCGACCCGACAGGGCTCTAGCAGCGCCATCCAGCCCCCTCGCCTCGCCAACCGCAGCAGGCAGGGAAGCACTCACTTCTCGTCACCTTCTCCTTTTTCCCCTCCCCTGCCTCCCTGTCCCCCACCCTTCCCCTCAGCGTCCCGACTGGGCTCTAGCAGCGCCGTCTAGTCCCCTCGCCTCGCCTACAGCAGCCAGCAGGGAAGCAGCCGCAGCCAACGCCACAGCAGCGGCAGTGGCGGCGGGCATGCGCGATCGCATACTGCTGGCAGCGTGTGGGCCAGAGGAGATTCTCCCTCAGCCGTCCGATCTGCCAGCAGACCTCTTCACTGCGTGTCTCACCACCCCCATCAAGATCGCTCTGCGGTGGTGAGTGATTGATGGCTTCAAACCCATCTTGTCGAAACGAGGTGACTTTTGAGTCGACTCGTGAGTCGAGGTGACTTTTGAGTCGACTCAAAAGTCTGTGCGGTGGTGAGTGATTGATGGCTTAAACGTAAACCCCATCTTGTCAAAACACATAATGCCGTTAGTGTGTTGTGAGGTGTGTAAAGACTCCGAGGTCGCAAGCCATGCGAAAGGCGCCGCCACCTCTCTGCACTTGTGCTCCCTTTTCCCCTCCCACCTTCCCTCACCATGTTCTGTGCTCGCTCTTTCCTCCGCTACATGGTGGAGCGCATTCCCGGGCGGCAGAGTGAGTGCAAGACAGCATCCTCCTTCCCACCTTTCCCCCTCCCCTCCCTCCTATTCAATTGTTGTGCGTGCCTTCCCTCCCACCTCTCCTCACCATGTTCTGTGCTCGCTCTTTCCGCCGCGACATGGTGGAGCACATTCCCGGGCGGCAGGGTGAGGTGAGCGCAGGCCAACCCTTCCCTTTCCCTTTCCTCCGCCCTTTCCCACCTGTACACAAACAGGTTTTGCAGCCGATCTCTCCTTCGGGACTCGCTGGACCCCGAGATGGTGGAGCGCATTTCCGGGCGGCAGAGTGAGCGCAAGACGACACTTACCTTTACTCCCTTCCCCTTCCCCTTCCCCTTCCCCTTCCCCTTCCCCTTCTTTCCTCCACCACGTCAGGTTCTGCTCGCGCTCTCTCCTGCGCGATTCGCTGGACCCCGAGATGGTGGAGCGCATTCCCGGGCGGCAGAGTGAGCGCAAGACGGCGCTGGGCGAGCTCAACTGGATCTTCACGGCCGTCACCGACACCATCGCCTGGAACACCCTCCCCACGCACCTCTTCCAACGGCTCTTTCGGCAAGACCTGCTGGTGGCCTCGCTGTTCCGGAACTTTCTGCTCGCGGAGAGGGTGATGAGAGCGAGTGGGTGCACGCCTGTTTCGTATCCACAACTCCCACCCACGCACCAGCACCACCTCTGGTAAATTGAGGGGTCTGTGTGTGTGTGGAAGGTAATTCTTCTTGGGACTTTCTGCACGCGGAAAGGGTGATGAGGGCGAGTGGGTGCACGCCTGTGTCGTATCCTCGGTCTCCACCCACCCACGCACCAGCACCACCTATCGTACAATGGAGAGGGGAAGAGGGGGGGGGGAGGGATGGGGCGGAAGGTGTTTCTGTTACCATTTGGGTGGTAGTATTGTGGGCGGGGAATTTCTGTGACCTGCTCGTTGCGTTGCTGTTTCGGAACTTTCTGTTCGCGGGGAGAGTGATGAGAGCGAGTGGGTGCACCGTGCACGCCTGTGTCGTACCCACACCACACCCCTCGCCCACGTACCAGCACCACCCTGTGTTGTGGTTTGTGAGGGGCACCACATGTGCTGTGTTGTGGTGTGGGAAATTCTATTGCTGTGGGTCATGTCTGTCTGCTATCTGGTTACATGCAAACTGAGGTATCATTGTCTCCTCCCCTTGACCCTCGTTTTCCCTGTACTACCCTGCACCTTCTCCCCACGTCTCCTCCCAGACATGCATGGGACATTGTATGCTGTTTTTTTTTTTTTTTTCTGAGAATTCTCAAAAAACAGATTTCCTGCTGCCCTGCACCTTCTCCCCACGTCTCCTCCCAGACATGCATGGGACATTGTATGCTGTTTTTTTTTTTTTTTCTGAGAATTCTCAAAAAACAGATTTCCTGCTGCCCTGCACCTTCTCCCCACGTCTCCTCCCAGGCACGCATGGGACATGGCATGGCAGCAGAGATGTGTCTCTCACAGCTGCCACATGGCTTCATGATGATCAAGGCCAACGTTGTTTCCCCCTGCATTACCTCTGTCTCCCTGCTCTTCCCTCCCTGCCCCTTCTCCCCCCTGCTCCTCCCTTTTCCACTCTCCTCCCCCCAGGCACGCATGGGACATGGGAGCGGAGATGTGTCTCGCACAACTGCCCACGTTCTTCCCACCTGCGCTGCACCCCTGTCTGTCTCCCTGCTCTTCCCTGCTCCTTCTCCCCCCTTTCTCCCTCTCCCCCCAGGCACGCATGGGACATGGCAGCGGAGATGTGTCTCGCACAGCTGCCCACGCTCCTTGCAGACCCCAACGCCGAGTTCCAGGCAAGCTCTTTCAAAAACCTCCTTACGTCTTATCGGACACAACACACGCGATTCTTTCACTGTGTCCCAGACGATTTAGCTCTCTGCTGCTGTATGGATGGTGCGCTCTTTACTGTGCTCTGCAGCACGCACAGAGGCTCCAGCAAGGGGTGAATTTCAAGTCAACTCAAAAGTGAGCTGCTTTACATACAGTGTCTCAGACGGTTTAGATCTCAATATGGATGATATGGTGCATTCTGCAGCACGCACAGAGGCTTCAGCACGAGCCTGCCTAATAAATCCCTCCATTTTCTTCCCGCCCTTCCTGCCTGCCAGCCCAGCAGCTTTTTCTCGCAGCAGCTGATGGCGTTTGAGGTGTGGCTGGAGCATGGCAGCGACAAGAAGAGACCGCCGGAGCAACTCCCTATTGTGCTGCAGGTCGGTCACTCCTTAGCTCTCCCTCTTGTGCTCTGTACACGTTTAAACTCTCTTTGTGTCCTTCGCCGTTTGAGATGTGGCTGGAGCATAGCATGGCAGCGACAAGAAGAGACCGCCGGAGCAACTCCCCATCGTGCTGCAGGTCAGTCCTTCCCTCCTTAGCTCTCCTTCTTCTGCTCTGTACACGTTTAAGCACTCTTTGTGTCCTTCGCCGTTTGAGGTGTGGCTGGAGCATGGGATCGACAAGAAGAGACCACCGGAGCAACTCCCCATCGTGCTGCAGGTCGATCCGTCCGTCCCTAGTCGGTCCCATTTCGTAATCATGCATTCCTGTGCTCCGTAGACGTTCATACTTCTGCTATGCTTTAGAGTCGTTGAACAAATGCTGTTCCTTCGCCTCTCCCTTTTCTCCTCCCACCTCCTCCTAACCCCCCCCACACCCCCAATCAGGTGCTTCTCAGTCACTCGCACAGGCTGCGAGCTCTCGTGCTTCTAGGGCGATTCCTCGACATGGGGCCATGGGCTGTCGACCTGGTGAGTCACACTGCTTCCTTCCCCCCCTTCCTGGACCCGCCTCCCCCCCTGTCCCCCTCTCTTCTTCCCCAAACCCCCCGTCCCCCCCGCCCTCCCCCTCTCCTGTCCTCATCTCACTCCTCATGCACGTTGTGTTGTCATCGATTCAATTCTCAGGCACTCTCAGTGGGAATACTCCTCAAAGTGACTTTTGGGAATTCTCAGGCACTCTCAGTGGGAATACTCCTCAAAGTGACTTTTGGGAATTCTCAGGCACTCTCAGTGGGAATACTCCTCAAAGTGACTTTTGGGATTTCTCAGGCACTCTCAGTGGGAATACTCCTCAAAGTGACTTTTGGGAATTCTCAGGCACTCTCAGTGGGAATACTCCTCAAAGTGACTTTTGGGAATTCTCAGGCACTCTCAGTGGGAATACTCCTCAAAGTGACTTTTGGGAATTCTCAGGCACTCTCAGTGGGAATACTCCTCAAAGTGACTTTTGGGAATTCTCAGGCACTCTCAGTGGGAATACTCCTCAAAGTGACTTTTGGGAATTCTCAGGCACTCTCAGTGGGAATACTCCTCAAAGTGACTTTTGGGAATTCTCAGGCACTCTCAGTGGGAATACTCCTCAAAGTGACTTTTGGGAATTCTCAGGCACTCTCGGTGGGAATACTCCTCAAAGTGACTTTTGGGAATTCTCAGGCACTCTCAGTGGGAATACTCCTCAAAGTGACTTTTGGGAATTCCCAGGCACTCTCAGTGGGAATACTCCTCAAAGTGACTTTTGGGAATTCTCAGGCACTCTCAGTGGGAATACTCCTCAAAGTGACTTTTGGGAATCCTCAGGCACTCTCAGTGGGAATACTCCTCAAAGTGACTTTTGGGAATTCTCAGGCACTCTCAGTGGGAATACTCCTCAAAGTGACTTTTGGGAATTCTCAGGCACTCTCAGTGGGAATACTCCTCAAAGTGACTTTTGGGAATTCCCAGGCACTCTCAGTGGGAATACTCCTCAAAGTGACTTTTGGGAATTCTCAGGCACTCTCAGTGGGAATACTCCTCAAAGTGACTTTTGGGAATTCCCAGGCACTCTCAGTGGGAATACTCCTCGAAGTGACTTTTGGGAATTCTCAGGCACTCTCAGTGGGAATACTCCTCAAAGTGACCAAGCTGCTACAGACCAGTGCAGTAGAAGGTAGAGTTCAACTTAAGTCAAGCGATTCCATCACCCCCTCTCTCCTGCTCCCATTGCTCCCAGCCGCTGTCAGTGGGAATATTCCCCTACGTGCTCAAGCTGCCGGATGTCCTTCGTTTTTGAGTCGACTCAAAAGTCGACTCAAAAGTCGACTCAAAAGTGCTCTCAGTGGAAATAATCCTCAGCGTGCTCGAGCTGCTGGATTTACTTCATCACTTTCACATCAATCCCCTCTCTCTGTCGTCTGCACCCATTCCCATACATATGCAGGCGCTGTCAGTGGGAATATTCCCGTATGTGCTCAAACTGCTGCAGACAAGCGCAGTGGAGCTGAGACAGATCCTCGTGTTCATCTGGACCAAGATTCTGGCGCTTGATAAGGTGGGCAGTTATCAACATTCCAGTACTAGCAGTAGTAGCATCGCTTGGCATCAGAGCTGTGAGAACTGGGTGGGTGGGCACCTGGTGCAGTGGAGCTAAGACAGATCCTCGTGTTCATTTGGACCAAGATTCTGGCGCTTGATAAGGTGGGGATGGGTGGGCGGGCAGCTATGGTAGTAGCATGGCATGGGAACAGAACAGGGTTGTAGTACGTCGATGTGTGAGTCGACTCAAAATCGACTTACTACACGCAGAATAGGGTTGTAAGACTTTTCAGATCCTCGTGTTCATCTGGACCAAGATTCTGGCGCTTGATAAGGTATGCAGTATTAGCATTCCAGTTTCAGCAGCAGAGTAGTGAGAACTGGGTGGGTGGGCACTGGGCTGTCAACGCAAGGTTGTCTTGTCATGTCAGTCCGCTGAAGCAAGATTGTCTTGTCATGTCAGTCCGCTGAAGCTCTGAACCCTGTGCCCACCTTTCTGTTCCTCCCACCCCAGTCATGCCAGGTGGATCTGGTGAGGGACGGCGTCCCTCATTCATCAAAACACATGTGCTGTCCCCCTTTTTTCATCTTCTCCGCCCTTTCCCGTATCTCCAGTCGTGCCAAGTGGATCTGGTGAGGGACGGCGGCCACGTATTTTATCAAGTGCCTCGAGACGCACGAGCCTTACTCCCTTCATCACTCTGACCCTCCTCCTTTACTTTCCCCCTATGTGCCTCTCCTTTCCCGTATCTCCAGTCATGGCAGGTGGATCTGGTGAGGGACGGCGGCCACGTGTATTTCATCAAGTGCCTTGAGACGCACGAGCCATACTCCCTTCATCACTCTGGCCCTCCTTCTTTACTTTCCCCCTATGTGCCTCTCCTTTCCCGTATCTCCAGTCGTGCCAGGTGGATCTGGTGAGGGACGGCGGGCACATGTATTTCATCAAGTGCCTCGAGACCCACGAGCCATACTCCTCCGACCCCAGGGAGCGGGCCACAGTGGCATTTCAGCGAGCCATGGCCGCGTTTGTGCTTGCGCTCATCTGTGACGGCCACCCCAAGGGCCACCAGGCGTGCTTGCAGGTGGGCTGCTATTCCCAAGGTGCTAAACCCGAAACCCTAAAACTCTGTACCCCAGGGAGCGAGCCACTGTGGCCTTCCAGCGAGCCATGTCCGCGTTTGCTCTCGAGCTCATCTGCGACGGCCACCCCAAGGGGTATCAGGCGTGCCTGCAGGTAGGATGCTTGCTTACTGCTGCAGGCGATGTGATTTTATTCGATTTGAGTTTTTTCAGCGCCATGCTCGGGTGCCACTGTGAACTCATCCCTCTCTGTTTTTGAGTCGACTAAAAAATCGACTCACTTCATGCACATGCCTCTTCCTCATCCCCCCCTGTCCCCCCCCCGCCCGTGCTGTGCCTCCCCAGGCGGGACTCATCCCCTTGTGCCTGATGCACATTCAAGCTGTGCCCCCAGCGGAGCCGCTGTTGCTGCAATGGCTGTGCCTGTGCATTGCTGGCTCAACAGCTCTCCTCTGCTTTTCTACCCTGTGCCCACGCCGCCCCCATTTCCAAGCCCCTCTCTCCAGGCGAGGCTCATCCCTCTCTCTCTGCCTGATGCACATTCAAGCTGCGCCTCCAGCGGAGCCGCTGCTGCTGCAGTGGCTGTGTCTGTGCGTGCGACTAGCTCTCTGGTCATCCTCTAAGCTCTGTCTTCCCATTCCCTTGTGCGCCCTTCCCTCCAGGCGGGACTCATCCCTCTCTGTCTGATGCACATCCAAGCTGCGCCTCCAGCGGAGCCGCTGCTGCTGCAGTGGCTGTGCCTGTGCGTGGGCAAGCTGTGGGGGGGCGCGCCAGAGGCACAGGCAGCAGCACTGGCCCAGCACCGCGCCCCCCAGATCCTCTCACCCCTGCTCTCAGAGCCCCAGCCCGAGGTGAGAGTCTGAACTGAGACCCTAGCCCTAGGGAGCAGTAACCCGCAAGCACCACAGCACAACACCACCGCACAACACCACAGCGCCATACGCCAGAGGCCCAGGCAGCAGCGCTGGCTCAGCACCGTGCCCCTCAGATCCTCTCACCATTGCTCTCTGAGCCCCAGCCCGAGGTGAGAGAGTTAAAGCCTAGTCTTAGAAAGGGGTAACCCGTCAACCCGTCAGCTCCACAGCACCTGCCGGCCAGGTCCGGCAGTGAACACTCCTAGTCTTAGAAAGGGGTCCCTCGTCTCCGCGCTTGCCTCCTGTCAGGACTCCCAAATTTCCTCCAACTCAACTAAGCCCTCTCCCGCCTTCCCATATTCCACCAACCAGGTTCGAGCGGCAGCAACATATGCCCTGGGCGCCCTTATTCAGATTGCCTCGGAATCTCCACAAGCGGGGGAAGGGGCAGCCACAGGAGTAGGAGCAGCAGCAGCAACAGGGGGAGGTTCAGCTGCAGGTGCAGGAGCTGGTGTGGGGGGAGCTCTAGGGGAGGGGCCATCTGTCACAGCAGGAGGAGCAGTGGGGAGTGCGGCAGCAAGAACACCAGATTCAGAACCCGGGTCAGCAGTAGGAGGGGCAGCAGGAGGAGCAGCAGGAGGAACAGCAGGAGTAGCGGCAGGAGGAGTAGGAGCAGGAGCACAGGGAGCAGCAGGTGCAGGTGGAAGCAGTGCAGGTTTATCTGGGGTAGGGTCAGCTGGGGCGGAGTGGAGGGAGGAACAAAGATTAGCAGCAGAGAGAGGGGTGCTTCAGGTGTTACTTAAAGTGCTGAATGATGGTAGTCCCATGGTTAGGAAAGAGCTCGCTATAGCACTAGCTAGAATAGCCCACGGACATCGCCGCCCGTTTCGGCTGGCTGCGGCGTCTTATCTGTGCCGCCCGTCGCTCGTGGCCGGCAGCGCGGCCGGCATGGGCATGGGGTTTGGCAGGTCCGGTTCGGAACTGGACAGGCTCAGCGCAGGCTCGGGGCAAACAGGCTCGGAAGTGCATGGATTTACAGAAAAGATGGCAGGTTTGGGGATGGGAGGTGGAGGGGAAGCAGGAGGGCTAGCAGGAGCAAATGGAGGAGGAGGAGGGATGGGAGGATTGAGTAGCACGGGAGGCCTTTCAGGTGGGGCTATGCCTTCGTCTGGTTCGGGTCTCAATCTTCCGTCTCTCGCCCCCCAAGTCAACATGGTAGGACTTAGGCTCGGCACGGATGGTCGGCTGTATCCCCGGCCAGGTCCGGCAGTGAACGCACCTCTCCCGGTCCTCCAGTCCACTGCAGGCTCGGCGGTGGTGGGGCGGATGCTCGCGCAATCTTTTGACGCAGCAGGCTCGGGAGTAGGCTCGGGAGGTACGGCAGCAGGTTCGGGGAACACTGCAGCCTCAGGAGGATCAGCTTCGTATTTGAGAGTGTATGAGGAGGAAGGGGAGAGGGATGGGGCCGGGGGGGCAGCAGCAGGAGGGGCGGGAGGGGCCAAAGGAGAGGGGGGTGTGGGGAGTAAGGGCACAGGGGCGGGAGCAACTGGGGCAGGCGCTACTGTAGGAGGTACAGGAGGAGGGGGAGTAGGAGGAGGAGCAGTAGATAGTGGTGTCACGATAACGATACCTCCTTTGGTGAATGGGATTGTTCCTATAGCAGAAGCTGCTTCTGAGAGCGAAGCGTCATCAGGGGAGGATACAAGTAGAGGCAATGTGGGCCAGCAGCAGCAATCAGGTGAAAATCCAGGTGGGAGTGCGAATTCAGCCATGAACCCACTGTCAACCTCTGCTACAGCTGCCGCTACAGCTGCTGCTACTGCTGCGGCTACAGTGGCAGTAGCAGAAGCTGCAGCCGTGGCGGTTGCTGCAGCTGTCACCAGCTCCGGATCACCAGTCACAACAATCCCACCCGCTCCTCAAAACCCCCTCTTCTCCCTCTCCTCCCCAACCAGCCTCTCAGCTTCGGCACCGGACCTCTCCTTCCTCCGGGGCGCTGCCGAAGCTGCCAGCGGCTCGCCGGGGAGAGTGCTAGGGATGCCTCCAGGGGATGTGACTGTAAGGGGCGGAAGGCCTGGGTGGTTAGGACAAGCCCAAGGCAGGATACCCCCTGGTATGGGCCCAAACGGGGGGCTTATATGGGGGGAACTAGATGTTACAGACAGCGCAACTTACCTGCAGAGTATGATCGCTGTATACACCCTTGCGAGGGACCCTGCTCCGTCCGTATCTAAAATCAGCCGACAAACTCTTGCCCAGATTGGCTCCTCTGTAGCTGCAGCAGCGTCGAGTCTCAACGCCGCAGCGGCAGCAGCAGCAGCGGCAGCGGGAGCAGGAGGAGGGGTGGGGGGAGGGGGCGCGGGAGGTGGAGGGACGGGCGGGGCTGGGATGGGGTATGACGCGTTTATGATGCCGATGATGGTTCCAGGGATGGGTGGTGTCGGGGGGGGCATGGCAGCAGGGGGGCTTGCACCGTCTGCTAGCTTCAGCAACTTGACCCGGAGCAGTAGCAGGGATGCTGGGACGGTGATAATCAGTGGCGCTGGTGCGGCTGGGGGTGGTGGAGCAATAGGAACTCCAAATCTCTCTCTGGCTGCTGCTGCCGCAGTGGGCGCAGCGGGGCCTGTGGGCCTGCCAGGGCTGGGGGGAGTGGGCGGGGGGATGGGGCATCATGGGCTGATGAGTCCTGCCATGAGTCCACGTGTCCCCTCCCCATTGGCTGCTGGTTTGGCTCCTGCGATTACTCGGTCAACATCGTGGGTTGCGCCTGTCAACGGTGGGATGTTACAATTTGCTTTTCTACTTAGGCGTTTCTACTGCTGGTGCTGCTGCTGCTGTTGCTAGTGCTGCTGCTGCTGTTGCTAGTGCTGCCGCCGCTGTTGCAGCCGCAGCCTCATAATATTGCGTCTATTCTCTAATGCTCACCTCATGTCCCCTCCCTCTCTTCCCCCTGTTTCCTGTCCAGCCCCACACCCAATAGGCAGCTGGCGACAGCTGGCAGCACCACAGCTTGCCATGTCACCCTCTGCTGCCGCAGCCTCGGGATTCCTCCAGGCCCGTGACCCGTTCGGCCTGGTGGCTCGGGACAGCCTCGGGCTGCCGCCGACGCTGGCAGCAGGTTCGGGAATGCAGGCTCGGGACAGCGGGATGCGGAGGGTAATGACCGCCGTGGATTTCTCATCGTCTCAGCAGCAGCAGCAACAGCAGCAGCAGCAGAGGCAGATGGGGGTGATGGGGAATGGGGAGATCCTTGCAGGGGTGCATGTGCTGTCATCTGTCACAGGAGGAGGGTATCCGCCCTTGAGACCAAATGTGAGTGCGCATTTTCTAAGCGCCTCTAAACTCGTCTTTGAGGCGCCTCAAAAGGGATGGGGAGTGGGGAGATCCTTGCAGGAGTGCATGTGTTGTCATCTGTCATGGGAGGAGGAGGGTACATCCGCCCTTGAGACCAAATGTGGGCATGGGACGTTTGTACTTGCTAAGCAGTTTCTATCTAACTCGTGTTTGCTGGCGGGGGGATGGGGAGTGGGGAGATTCTTGGAGGGGTGCATGTGTTGTCATCTCTAACCGGTGGAGGAGGGTATCCGCCCTTGAGACCAAATGTGAGTGGACATGGGACGTCAAAAGAGGACATGGGACGTGTTGACTTGACATCTGTACTTACTTGCTGGCCAGTTTTTTTTAGTTTTGTGTGTGTGTGTGTGTGTGTGTGTGTGTGTGTGTGTGTGTGTGTGTGTGTGTGTGTGTGTGTGTGTGTGTGTGTGTGTGTGTGTGTTTGTGTGTGTGTGTTTTTTTTATGGCTGCATGGCATGGCCATGTGGTTGAGGTGCTTGCTGTGTGTCTCTCCTCCTCCTCCTCCTCCTCCTCCTCCTCCTCCTCCTCCTCCTCCTCCTCCTCCTCCTCCTCCTCCTCCTCCTCCTCCTCCTCCTCCTCCTCCTCCTCCTCCTCCTCCTCCTCCTCCGCCAAACACCTATTTGTTCATTCTTGAGGTTCCACGGATTGTTGAAGGCTCCTTGAAAGAGTCACGTATGCTGGTTGTTATGAGTTGTTTGTTGTGAGTATGTGTTGACTTAGGTCGTTATGAGGATTTAGGTTGTTCCACGGTTGTTATGAGTCGTTTGTTGCGAGTATGTGTTGACTTAGGTTGTTATGAGGATTTAGGTTGTTCCACGGTTGTTATGAATCGTTTGTTGTATGTGTTGACTTAGGTCGTTATGAGGATTTAGGTTGTTCCACGGTTGTTATGAGTCGTTTGTTGCGAGTATGTGTTGACTTAGGTCGTTATGAGGATTTAGGTTGTTCCACGGTTGTTATGAGTCGTTTGTTGCGAGTATGTGTTGACTTAGGTCGTTATGAGGATTTAGGTTGTTCCACGGTTGTTATGAGTCGTTTGTTGCGAGTATGTGTTGACTTAGGTCGTTATGAGGATTTAGGTTGTTCCACGGTTGTTATGAGTCGTTTGTTGCGAGTATGTGTTGACTTAGGTCGTTATGAGGATTTAGGTTGTTCCACGGTTGTTATGAGTCGTTTGTTGCGAGTATGTGTTGACTTAGGTCGTTATGAGGATTTAGGTTGTTCCACGGTTGTTATGAGTCGTTTGTTGCGAGTATGTGTTGACTTAGGTCGTTATGAGGATTTAGGTTGTTCCACGGTTGTTATGAGTCGTTTGTTGCGAGTATGTGTTGACTTAGGTCGTTATGAGGATTTAGGTTGTTCCACGGTTGTTATGAGTCGTTTGTTGCGAGTATGTGTTGACTTAGGTCGTTATGAGGATTTAGGTTGTTCCACGGTTGTTATGAGTCGTTTGTTGCGAGTATGTGTTGACTTAGGTCGTTATGAGGATTTAGGTTGTTCCACGGTTGTTATGAGTCGTTTGTTGCGAGTATGTGTTGACTTAGGTCGTTATGAGGATTTAGGTTGTTCCACGGTTGTTATGAGTCGTTTGTTGCGAGTATGTGTTGACTTAGGTCGTTATGAGGATTTAGGTTGTTCCACGGTTGTTATGAGTCGTTTGTTGCGAGTATGTGTTGACTTAGGTCGTTATGAGGATTTAGGTTGTTCCACGGTTGTTATGAGTCGTTTGTTGCGAGTATGTGTTGACTTAGGTCGTTATGAGGATTTAGGTTGTTCCACGGTTGTTATGAGTCGTTTGTTGCGAGTATGTGTTGACTTAGGTCGTTATGAGGATTTAGGTTGTTCCACGGTTGTTATGAGTCGTTTGTTGCGAGTATGTGTTGACTTAGGTCGTTATGAGGATTTAGGTTGTTCCACGGTTGTTATGAGTCGTTTGTTGCGAGTATGTGTTGACTTAGGTCTCTTATCTCTGTCTCTCTGTCCTTCACCTCTTCATCCCTTCACCCCTTCATCCCTTCACCCCGTCACCCCTTCATCCATGCAGCATGCAGCTGCCTCGTCAGACTCCATTGCCCACCCATCCAACCTGCCTGCACATACAACCCCTGCTAGTCGCCCTCAAAACCCTAACTCTACTTCCTCTCAACCTCCTACCGGAAGTGCTGCCCCTGCTGCTGCGCCTGCTGCCACCTCTGCCACTGCCCCCTCTGGTGCTGCTACAGCGGCGGGTACATTGCCTGCTGCTGGATATGCAAGCACCCCCAATTCTGCTGCTGCTGCTGGCTCCAATGCTACGAGCTCTACAGGCACAACTGGTGGGCCCAGTGAACTGGGTATTCCCCCGGTCCTCTCTGCCCCTCTCTCGGCCTCTCTCTCCGCGTCGCTCCTGGACCCGTTTCTGTCGCTGGATGCAGCAGCAGCGGCGCAGGCAAAGCCGGTGCCAAATTCGGGGCTGTATGCGTGGAGCTGTGGGCACTTGTCGCGGCCGCTGCTGGAAGCGGTGTGTGACGCCGAGGCCGAGACGAGGCGAGCTGCGCGAGAGAAGCGAGCGGTTGAGGGTGTGGCGGAGTGCCGGCGAGCAAGTGAGTGTGTTGGGAGGGGGGGGGGGGAAGGGGGGGGAAGGAGGGGAAGGGATTGGGGTGCAGGATTCTTGGTGGGCGTGGGTCTGAGATGTGTGTGTCTGCTCTCTCTTCCAATTGCCCATCCCTTCGTTTTGTGTGTCTGTAGCGGTGAACAAGGTGAGCAATTAAATTGCCTGCTCTGACACAGGCTCCGACTTAATAACATAGGCCATTCACTTGCACCTTGCTTTCACCCTCTTGCTGTTTTGCAATTTGGCTTGATCTCCTCTCTTTTGTTTGCTCTCCTTCCCCCCTTCGCAGCAGTGAGCAAGGTGAGCGATCAGATCGCCAGCTTCGATACCGAGTCAGACATGATGACAGAGGCCGTGCTCCTGCACCCCTTCCTGCCACTCGTGTGCATTGCAGACGAGAACGAGGTTGTGAGGTGAGTAGCATAGACACGCTTTTTTGTTGTTGTTTTTTGTTGTTTGTTTTTTTATATTGGTACCTTTGGTTCATATGGCATGTCTTGCTGTTCATTTTCGTTCACCAAACCATTGTGTCACTCTCCCCTGCTCTCTACCTCAGAATCTGGAACTACGAGGAGGGACTGACCGTGAGCACATTTGACAACCAGACGGGAGGCGGAGGTGGGGCGGACGGGCACAAGGGAGTGAGCCAGCTGTGCCTGCTCAACGAGCTAGACGATACTCTATTGCTCGTGGCCTCCAGTAAGCATTTTCCTTCCACTCGAATCCTCTCTCTGTGTCTCTCTCTCACTCTCTCGAAACAAGGGAATGAGCCTGCTGTGCTGTGCCTGCTCAACGAGGCACGCTGCTTCTCGTGGCCTCCAGTAAGAATCTCTATCTCTGTCCTTCCGAGTTGTTCTATCTCTTGTTCTCTCTCCACAAGTGCTTGAGCCAGCGGTTCGCTGCCTCTTCTCCTCCTCTCGTTGGCTCAGCCTCTCACTTGCGTGCACAAATGGCAATCCGCTTTCACCACCACCAGTAGTGCTAGCAGCATGGCAGGCACTGCAGTCCCATGTCTCTCACCACCTCTCCTCCTCCTCTTGTTCACTCAACTTCTCACTCACCTGCGCCCATGGTGACCTGCTTTCACCATCTCAAAGTGCAATCATCGTGTAAATGAATCGTTCTTATCTCTCTCTCTCTCTTTTGTGTATCTTCCGTCGTGTATGCTCCGTTGTGTTTTCTCTGTCCATGTTTTTCCGCTCAGGGGACGGGAGTGTGCGTGTGTGGAGAGACTTCGCTCGAAGAGGCAAGCAACGAATAGCCACAGCATGGCAGGCAGTTCAGTCCCACTCCCACCACCTCTTTTCCTCCTCCTCCTCCTCTTCCCCCACCTCCCTTTCCTCCGCTGCCCGTCCTTCCTCCTCCATTTCCTCCTCTTCCGCCTCTCCTTTTTCCACATCTTTATCCTCTTCTAATCTACAGTCGCAACTTACTGATTCTAACATGTCGCATCGGCACCATCAGCAGCAGCACCAGCATCATCATACTAACCAGCGATTAGACCAGCAGCAGCAGCAGCAGGTTCGGGGCCAACAGGGGCGGTCCTCCGAGCCTCTTGCTTCGCCTAACAGCTTCGGCAGTAGCTTCGGCGGCGGGTTTGGCAGCAGCTTCGGCAGCAGTGGAAGCAGCAGCAGCACCGGAGGGTTGGGTTCTGGTGGTGGTGGGGGGGGAGGAGCAGGCGGAGGTGTGGGAGTAAGAGGGCGTACTGGAGCAGTGGTGGAATGGCAGCAGCTTATGGGATACTTGGTAAGATCGTGTTGAATGCACTGTTGTCTGATGTCTGATGTCTGTTGTCTGTTGTCTGATGTCTGTGTGTAGTTCTGATGGGGGAGGTGTGGGGTTAGGAGAGTCGGGGGTGAGAGGATGTATTAGAGCGCCACGATGAGCAACATACCTCCTTCCAACCCTTCATCCCTCCATCCTCCCAACCCTTCATCCCTCCATCCTCCCAACCCTTCCACTCCACCAGTAAGCGTCGGGGGAAATCTCCTCCATGCTCGTGTGGCACCTTGAATGGGAGCTGGTTACTTACAACTTCCATCCCTTCCTCTGCTCCATGCCCCCCACCCACCCCTCCACCAGTACGCGTCGGGGGAAATCTTCTCCATCCTCGTGTGGTAAATTGACAGGGAGCTGCTCACTTGCAAAGTCTTTTGCCCCCTCCCCCCGCCAATCTGTTGCACTCCGACGCTCCATGCTGCTTCCACGCACCCCGTCTCTTCCCTCCACCCCACCAGTACGCGTCGGGCGAAATCTCCTCCATCCTCGTGTGGGACCTAGACAGGGAGCTGCTAGCACACAGTGTGCCCACTGAGTGTGACTCTGCCGTGACAGCCCTGGTGAGTGCTGCTGTGAGAATAAGTTTGTTGGCGCACTGAGTGACTGTGTTTGCACACACAACACAGGGAGCTGCTACCGCACAGTGTGCCCACTGAGTGTGCCTCTGCCGTCACTGCGCTGGTGAGTGCTTTTGGTGCTGGCCTTGTTGCTGCTCCTGCTGCTGCTGCTGCTGCCGCTAGACAGGGAGCTGCTACCGCACAGTGTGCCCACTGAGTGTGCCTCTGTCGCCACTGCGCTGCTGTGAAGCCTAGGGTTGTTGGCGCACACTGTGACACTGTGTGTATGTACCTCGAATGCTATGATGGATTATACGCTCTAGACCCTTTGCGTTTAGCGTATCTACGCTAGCGTGTACACGCAATACGCTAAACGCTAGCGAATACGCGATACGCAGCCATAAAAAAATTCGGGCAGCCCGGGAAAGTAAAATCGTAGAAAAGATGTGGATTTTCTGGATGAGCATATCGCGGAAGTCGAAATGTAAATCCGCGGTCGAAAGATGTACCTGACTTCGAAGTTTTCAGGCACATCTGGCTATTCAAATGTCGAATTTCAGGTCCCATCTAGGCATTTGAACCCATCCCCTCTACCGCATTGAAAACCATCTTATCTACGAACCCCAACCTATCAAAATCGAACCCCCAACAAATCTCACGCTACTTACCAGCCAACCCAACTCCTAACCCGTCATTTCCTACCTTGCATTCCCGCTTGCAGCAGTGTCCCCGCGCACTCCAACTTGAACAGCCTCTCCAACACTACTCCCTCTAGCTATGATGTCTACTCCCCGCCCCACCCCACCCGCCGATCGGAAAATGCTAGGGCACGTCTTAGTGAGATGAGATAGGGGGTAATTTTTTTCCACCCTGCCCGAAATGTTTTTTACCTGCCCGAAAAAGCGTATGCCTGATCCTACCCTCAAGCGTATGGCGTATACACGCTAGCGTATATACGATACGCATATATACGCTAAATGTGTATAATCCATCATAGCTCGAATGCACATACACACAGGGAGCTGCTTGCCACAATGTGCCCACTGAATGTGTCCCTGCCGTTGCTTCCACATATAATTTGACCACAGTTCCGTGTGCTGCTGGTCTGCTGCATCCCCCACTCTCATCTCCCATCTTTTCTGCCTCTCCACCTTTCCACCTTCCCTCCTTCCTTCCTCCTCACCTCCATCCTGCCCAGTTTTGTGACATCATAATGTGTTGACAGCTCTGTGCGGCTGCTTTGCTGCCATCTCCCCACGCTCATCTCCCATTTTTCCTCCTCACTTCTATCCCTTCTCACTTCTTTCCCCACCCACCTCCCCCCCCCCCCCCCCCCCCCCCCCGCTCTCTCTGCTCTCTCCTCCCCCAATCCGCACCCCCTTCTCCCAGGGCTCATCTGTTGTCCAGCCAAGCTACGTGGCAGCAGAGTGTGATGACGGTTCTGTTCGGTTGCTTTATCTCCTCACTTCTTTCCCCACCCACCTCCCCCCTCCCGCTCCCTCTTCCCCCTTTCCCACCCCCTTCTCCCAGGGATCATCTGTTGTCCAGCCAAGCTACGTGGCAGCGGGGTGTGACGACGGCTCTGTGCGGCTATTTGACATTCGCTCGCAGCCCCGGGCGCAGTAAGTGTCATGTGTGATGAGATGAGTTATGTGTGCTCTTATGTGGTTCTGTGCGGCTCTATGCGGTTCTTTTGACATTCGCTCGCAGCCCCGGGCACAGTGAGTGCTATGCGTGATGTGCTCTGTGCGGTTCAATGCGGTTCTGTGTGGCTCTGTGTGGCTCTGTGTGGCTCTGTGCGGCTCTGTGTGGCTATTTGACATTCGCTCGCAGCCCCGGGCGCAGTAAGTGTCATATGTGATGAGATGAGTTATGTGTGCTCTTATGTGGTTCTGTGCGGCTCTATGTGGTTCTTTTGACATTCGCTCGCAGCCCCGGGCACAGTGAGTGCAGTGTGTGATGAGTTGTGTCCTGCAGCAAAACCCCTCTCCCTTTATAACCACCACTACCCTCTCCCTTTATAACCACCACTACCCTCTTCCCCCCCTTCCCCCCCCCCCCATGCCTTCCCCCGTGCAGGCACGCACCATCACTCGCATCGGGCCGCAGCGCTCCCATCTCTTGAAGAAATCTTTTAACATTTCTCCCCCCTCCTCCTCTGCAGGCTCGTGTGCGGCACGCACCATCACTCGCATCGGGTCGCGGGAATTGCCTTCCACCCCGCCAGCACTTCCGCACCTCAAGTACGTTATAAATTAACACCCTTTTGAGGCGCCTCAAGTACGTTATAAATTAACCCCCTTTTGAGGCGCCTCAAGTACGTTATAAATTAACCCCCTTTTGAGGCGCCTCAAGTAGGTTATAAATTAACACCCTTTTGAGGCGCCTCAAGTACATTATAAATTAACACCGTTTTGAGGCGCCTCAAGTACGTTATAAATTAACACCCTTCTGAGGCGCCTCAAGTACGTTATAAATTAACACCCTTTTGAGGCACCTCAAGTACGTTATAAATTAACACCCTTTTGAGGTGCCTCAAGTACGTTATAGAAAAGCACTCTTTTGAGCCGTCGCAAAAATAGGGTCGCGGGAATAGCCTTTGTCCCCACCAGCACTTCCGCGCCTCAAGTATGTTATCAGCAGCCGTGTTAAAAGCAATTCATCTTTAGTCATTTCCCCCTCTGATGCATCCTGTGCGCTTTGTGCATCCATTTCCCCCTTACATACTCGCTCAAATCGACAGTTTTTCGCGTTCCTAATAAATATCCTGCCACAAAAATTGGCTGCCACGTTTTATTTTTGCGTTCAGATTATCTCTGCTTCAAGTTCTGGCGAGATTGTATTTTTAGATGCCCGAAATCCGGGGCAGCCAATTAGAAGAGTGGAGGCGCATAAGGGGCACCTTACAGCGCTCTCGGTTCATCGGCATCTGCCCGTCATGGCCACGGGCAGCTCGAAACAATTAATCAGAGTGAGTAATGTCTTTTGGTTTTATGCTTCTTGTGATATGCTTCAGAATTGGCTGCAAACTCAACTCAAATCCCGAAAACTCGTTGGTTTTGGTTCGATCTCAAGATATTCAGCAAATGCTTTTTACACGTCTAGCACAATCCTTCCTACCCTCCCCTCTCCGTCCCCTCGCAGGTCTTCAACATGTCTGGGGACCTCTTGAGTGTCGTGCGCTACCACAACAGCTTCTTGGGTCAGCGCATCGGCCCCGTCAGTGCGCTGCACTTCCACCCGTACAGGCCGCTGCTTGCCGCCGGTGCCACCGACTCCATTGTTTCCATCTATGCGGGGGAGACGCACCGCAGCTAGCAGAGGGGTGCAGAGGTGTGGGGGGTGAGTGTGCTGCACTTCCACCCGTACAGGCCGCTGCTTGCCGCGGGTGCCACCGATTCCATTGTTTCCATCTATTCGGGGGAGACGCTTTCGATCCTATCAGTGCCGGCTTTTACGTAATACACCCCTTTGCAGCTGCGAACTGCTGCGAGTTTCCTCCGGTGAAGAACGGGTCTGTTTGGTAGCCGTGGGTAAATATTCCTGTGAGCAATGGGCTGGTCTGGGCGAGTAGTATGGTGTGGATTTGGGCAGTGGGGCGGGTCAGTGCGTCGGCGATGTTTGATGCCCCCTTTTTGTAGGTGACCGTGTAGTGAAAATTCGACTCGAGGAAATCGAGCCAACGAACCTGTCGTGGGTTGAGGTGGGGTTGTGCGCGGAGGTACTGTAGTGATTTGTGGTTTGTCCGCACTGTCACTACGGGCAGATATAAGCAGGTAATGAGGTTACGGTACCAGGTAAAAAATTAGCTGCCAGGAGGAGAGAAGCTGCTTGTGTTTCCACCTGTACATGCTTTTGTGCTTCTTGCCATTGTTACCAAGTTGTTAACTTCACCTGATGCAGATATCATAGCTGATTTTTTTTTGGGTAATAGCAGGCGGTAAGCTGGTGGTGTGGTGGTGGTGGGCTGATATAGCAGAGCTGTGTGTGCTGAATATATTAGATGGTATCAGCTAGGTTCAATCTGGTAATACATGTGTTTGACGAGGTATGGCATAAGGAAGTCTCTGGTTCAGCTTAGGGCGTCCGTTTTCCCCCACACTGTTACGAGTGCAATTGAGCGAGCGAGCGAGAATTGCACTATCGAAACAAACAACACAATAAGCGAAGGCATGAGCGAAGAATATATAGCGAAGCTAGCGTAGTGACGGTAACGCGAGAAATTGGGGTGCGCTGCGGGCTACGGGCCTAGCGTCGAGGTTGGGAAATGTCGAGGCGGAGGTCCGGAGCGCGGGTTATCAACCGAACCGTGAGGCGCATCGTGAACAGTGGCATGAGTCGTGGTCGAGGCGAGTGTCGCGAGCGGGTAACGTTTCATTGTTGGGTGCTAGTGGCGGGAATGGTCATGTACATGGTAAGCAGGGGCGCAAAGTAAGGAAAATGAATTTTCCTTACACTACCCCCCCCCCCCCCCCCCCCCCCCCTCCTTGTAAGGAGACCCTCTATACAAGAGCGCATGTACATCTCGAAAATTTCGATTGCGCAAGTACTCGGTGAGGACAGGGTGGTTCTCGATTCTATCCAGGGGGACCCAGTTGACTGCGTGAGATCTTTCTAGCAGATCGGAAATTCGATCTTGCGGGCTCCCCGTTGGTCACGAACTCGGTGGCTCAATATTTTTTCAGGCGTGATGATTGGCTCTGTCGGCGGTCGTGTCATGTTCGCGGGGCGGTTGCGAGGCAGTTGGCTGGTGGATGGGACATATGGGCGAAGCAGGCTGATGTGGAACGACTGGGCGGTGTGGGTCGGCAATGTGCAGGACGGGCGGTGAACAAAGAACATTTTTCAGGGCAGAGAAGGCAGCATGCTCTTTCTCCCCCCACGTAAAAGCGACCCCCTTCCGCAGAAAATCCGTCAGTTGGGCAGTTAACCATGCCATGTCGGGGACGAACCGACGCACATAATTGACGAACCCTAAAAAACTCTGCAGCTCCGTGATATTTGTTAAGGGGTGCCTCGCTTTTACCGTATCCAACTTCTTGGGGTCGATCTCAACTCCAGCCTCCGAAATAACGTGCCCCAAAAATTCTAACCTATCTTGGAAGAACTCGCATTTGGAACCCTTGGTCAGTAGTCTGTGTCAGATGTATATGCCTTAGCCTATGTAGGTTGTAGTGGGGTAGACACTAAGGGGTACAGGTTTTATAATTGTATCTCACACTTTCCTAGTTCATTCATTCCTGTTTAATTCTTCACATGGTATAGAGCGGGTTCCCTCATGGGACCGTTCCTTCCTAAGGGCCCACCATAAGCAACTTTTTTTTTAGCTGCCCGAAGCGCGTCTCGCGCCCTGCCCTAAATTTTTTTTATTTTTTCGCGGCCCCCTAGCGGCCCCTACCGGCCCCTACGCGGCCCCTACGCGATCCCTACGCCGCCCCTAAACGGCCCCGTCGCGGCCCCGTACCTGACGCGGCCCCGTCCCTGACGCGGCCCCGCCCCTACCCGGCCCCTACGCGGCCCCTACGCGGCCCCTACGCGGCCCCTACGCGGCCCCTACGCGGCCCCTACGCGGCCCCTACGCGGCCCCTACGCGGCCCCTACTCGGCCCCTACGCGGCCCCGTGCGCGGCCCCCTACGCGGCCCCTCAGCGGCCCCTACGCCGCCCCTACACGGCCTGACCCGGCCCCGTCCCTGACGCGGCCCCTACGCGGCCCCTACGCCGCCCCTACGCGGCTCCTACGCGGCCCCTAAACGGCCCGACCCGGCCCCGTACCTGACGCGGCCCCTACGCCGCCCCTAAAAGGCCCCGTCCCGGCCCTACCCCGGCCCCGTCTCGGCCCCGTCCCGGACCGCCCGGCCTCGACTCCGTCCCGGACCTGCCTTGGCCCCGACCCCGTCCCGGACCTGCCCCGGCCCCGACCCTGTCCCGGCCCTACCTCGGCCCCGTCCCGGACCTGCCCCGGCCCCGACCCCGTCCCGGACCTGCCCCGGCCCCGACCCTGTCCCGGCCCCGTTGCTGCCCCGTCCCGGACCCTGCTCGGCCCCGACCCTGTCCCGGACCTGCCCCGGCCCTGACCCTGTCCCGGCCCCGTTGCTGCCCCGTCCCGGACCCTGCTCGGCCCCGACCCTGTCCCGGCCCTGTCACGGCCCCGACCCAGTCCCGGACCTGTCGGCTCCGCCCCTGGTAAGAGCCTAGCCGGGCCGAGCCGCGCGGCCGAGCCGCACTGCTTTGCCGAGTCGCCCTGCCGAGTCGCACTGTCCTGCCTCGCTCAGTTGCACTGCTGCCGCTGCTAGTCTGCTGCTGCTCCTGTCATGGCTAGTCCTAGTCTTCTCACCTTTGATGCTGAGGGTCGAGCGGTTGACTTTGATGTCTGGCTAGATGATCTGCAGCTTTTCCTTCAGTGCGATAGCAAGGATGGTCTCTCCCTGTTTGATCTTACATCGGGCGCCTCTACTGCCCCTGCTGCTGATGCTGACAGTACCGTTCGCTCGTAGTGGCTCACGCGCGATGCTGCTGCCCGCCTTGCTGTGCGTAGTCACCTACCGTCTACTGAGCGCGCGCACTTTAGTCAGTACAAGAGTGCTAAGACTCTGTACGACGCAGTAGTTGCACGTTACTCTTCCCCTGCCACTGCTGCGCTTAGCCGCCTCATGCTACCGTACCTGTTCCCTGACCTCGCTGCTTTTGCCACAGTCACTGACCTCATTACGCACCTCCGCACTAGTGACAATCGCTACCGCGCTGCGCTTCCTGCTGAGTTCTGCGCCCAGAACCCCCCCCCCATGTACATCACCCTCTACTACCTAGTCACTCGACTCCCTGACACTCTCCGCTCGGTCAGGGATCACTTTCTCTCACTTTGCCCTACCACCCTCACTGTCGACCTCCTCGAGGAGCGCCTCCTTGCAGCAGAGACTAGTATCACCGCTGTAGGCGCCTCTCGTGGTGACCCCCGTACCCCTTTCTTTGAGGGGTGCTCCCCCGTTCCTCTTTTGCCCTCTGTTGCCTCTGCTGCTGCTGTCGACCTTGTTGGCACCGAGTCGGTCAGCGCTGCGTCTGCTCCTAGTGAGAGGCGCCGCATCAGCAAGGGCAAGCGGGGCAAGGGAGCTGGAGGAGGTGGTGGGGGCGGCGGTAGTGGCGGTGGAGGCGGAGGAGGGGGTGGGGGTGGGGGTGGTGGTAGAGGTGGGGGCTTCGGTGGCGGCGGTGGAGGTGGAGGCGGCGGTGGCGGTGGCGGGAGGGGTGGAGGAGGCGGAGGCGGCGGCGGCGGAGGTGGAGCTGGCGGAGGCGGAGCTGTGCAGCGGGGACCCCAGCAGCAGCAGCGCTCTCGTGAGACCCCTTCGCCCCAGCAGCTTCGTGAGTGGTACGCGGGGCGCCAGGGGTCTGGGGGTGCTGGTCCCTGTACTTACGTCCTGCGCACCGGTGACCGCACTGGAGAGCAGTGTGGCGGCCTGCACGCCACCCAACGCTGCTTCGGTCGCCTGACGGACGCCTGGCGTGCCCAGTTCCCGGACGCCACTGAGATCCCTCGTTGGGGAGATCTGCTCAGGTCGGGGTTAGCTATCTTTGATCTTGACTTTGATGCTATTCTTGCTGCCATGTATGCTGTGTCTATTAGTGCTGAGGGTGACTGTTACGTGTGTGTTCCGCCTGACCCTGGTATTGAGGCTGTTGCTCTAGGTGCTAGTGAGTCTACTGCTCCAGGTACTCGTGAGTCTGCTACTCTAGGTGCTGGTGAGTCTGCTCTCTCAGGTACCGAGTCGGCTCAGGTCTTTCACACCTTCACCCTCGACTCGGGTGCTTCCCGCTCCTTCTTTCGAGACCGCACCACCCTTACGCTGCTCAGTCGGCCGGTTGCGGTCTCCCTGGCAGACCCTTCTGGGGGTCCTGTCCTTGCTCGCTACTCCACTGTCCTCCCGTGTCCGGCGGCCCCGTCAGGCTCCCTGTCTGGTCTCTACCTCCCCTCGTTCTCCACAAACTTGGTGAGTGGTGCTGACCTTCAGGATGCCGGAGTTGACCAGTTCACTCCTGCAGGTCAGCGAGTGACCCACTGCACGTGTGCTCAGACGGGCCGCCACTTGGCCTCGTTTACCCGTCGACCGGGGTCGAGCCTGTACACACTGACCACAGAGTCTCCTCCGGTTGCTGCGTCTGTTCAGGTAGCTGCGTCGAGTCAGGTGTTTGCTGCAGCGTCTCGGTCAGGTCCTGAGTCTGCCCCCTGCTCGTGTCGCCTCCTGTCCCACCAGACCCTCCTCTGGCACCACCGCCTTGGTCACCCCTCCTTGCCTCGTCTCCGAGGCATGGCCTCCCGTGTCCTTGT